AGACATAAGCTTAACAGTATCACAAACCAATGAGTTCGAAAAAGGGCCATATCTTCAGAATTTATGGTGACAGAGGACGACGAAAGAATGATGGATCTCTCTGAGACTACTACTAAAAATAATAGCAAAACAATGATTTAAAGAATCCGCTTTAAAAGTGCATACCTCTTTAGCTTTACGATCTGGAATTTCACGCGGAATAGAATCATAATCCTGGTTACATAAGAAAGAAAGAACCAGTTGCCTGAATCAATCTAAGAATTAACAGTATGTGAACAGAATAGCTTCCTCTCAATACAAATAGTATTTTCTATATTGCTACAATGTTTACTAAATAAGTTACCTCGGGTTTGACATCGTTGGGGTCATCAATATACTCTCTGTCGTCCCACTCCTCTGGCTGAAAAAAAAACAGATTGGTAAATCTATCAAGGTAGGGTCGAAAGGAATGTAGTGTAACTTCATAACTTAGCTCTTGCTCGGAAAATTTAGTAGAGACTCAGACCAAAACCGTAATCCATTTTTCCTGTCTTAAAGTCATAATAGCAAAGCTACTTGTAACTATCTCCGAAAGGGACTATCCAGTCTTGCAAATGTTTGGTTTAGCAATTCACAAAGTATTTAGGAAAGACTCTTGGAAACCTGATGAGCGCTCAAACAGTTTACCTTCTTTGCATTCTTAACCTTTATCTTCCTTGGAGGAAGGATGTCCCAATCTGTGTACATACTTCCAAATTCCCTCTCTTTATTATCAACCAGAACGCTGTAAGAAGCATCAGGCCGCAGAATAAACGTGTAAAAATGATTTAATTTGTCTGTTTCACATCGCAAATCCTTCTTAATTGGATAATTTTGTCCCTGATATGAAAGAATAACATGAAGCTTCTTCGTCTGTGTTCCACATATATCTGGTCCAAACATTAGACTGCATAGAAAAAGAATGAACAATTTCATGAGAATTCTCAAACACAACACTGTGTGAACATTTAGTTAATCATTTCATTAGTTCACTCGAATCCAAAACATCTCCACCTACTCGTGGGATCAACTAAATCAACACCTTCATCATTGTTCTTACGACTATAGTCTCATCATCAACTTGACTACAATCGCGTATCACCTTCTAGCAACTAATGTTCATTGCAAAGGCATTAAGGTATAAGGCACAAGATTACCTGTAAGGAGTATCACCACCAAACTGCTTCTGGTTAACATAGCCAGAGAGGAGCTTGATGTAAGCACCACCACATTCTATGTCTTGTTCAATCTTGACTGAATACTGAACAACAAGAGTCCGGTTTTTGTTGCTAAACTCTTGAATCTTTGCAGAAATCGCATAATGCTTGGCATCATTATAGGTCTGAATACCTAAACACATGGAAAAAAAAACATTCCTAAGTTTAACCAAACAAAGATTCTATTTTCCTCAAGTTAACCTCAAAGATCAAAGCCTATACACTTGAGAGCTCCAACAAGAACATATCAAAGAACTAAAACACTACAGCAAATCAAAGTTCACAGGGCAACAACACATGAAAGCAGAGAGATCAGAAATTAAGATTCTCTTCAAGGGTCGGCGAAAGGAACTACCTTTATCGTCAGGATCGCCGGGCCATTTTCCGGCAGTGTGCTTAAAGGTTCCAGCTTTACCTTCGTTTCTTTTCCAATCAGACAAGACCCACCTGCTTTTCCATCCACCTGAACACATCTAAACTTGTTAATCGCAGAAATCTATAAGTAGAAAGCAACAAAAAGGGGAAATCCAGAACCATTTATCAACCAGAAAAGGAAAGCCTCGAAGATTCTAATGATTGATGGGTTTTGACTTCACTATCCTAAATCTACAAAGGAAGTTGCTACTTTACTAATCATAGCAATAAATCCAAAAGACAATAACAGATATCAAATCCATGTTTTGTTTCTCGGAAAAGGAAAGAAAGAAAAAAGAGTATTGTTGTTATGTAATAATACTTCACCTTCGAAACGCTCTTCTAAGAAGATCTCAGAGAAAGCCAATGGAGCAAGAGTGAGAAAAGAGAAGATGAAGAAGCAGAACGTGTTGATCTTGTATTGAACCAATCCCATTTTTTTGTTTTGAGAATCTCTCTCACTTGCCATGGCTATGAAAATTGTGCTTGGGCCTTATAACAAAGAAAGACAGAGGCAAGAGTGAAAATTGACTCCGGAGTCGTTTTGTCGAATTACAATATTACCCCTAAACGTTTCTTCCCAAGTCGTGTTTTCAAGTCGTCGCATGGTTGACTGAAGAATCTTCAAAGTCGTTTTTTCAGCGTAAGACATGGGGCAAAATCCACATTGGTCTTAAAATCATAATTGATATGTTTTGATCTGCACTAATCTTTCTATTGTCACTACCTAAACATATTTTATCATATTTGGTTTCTTTTGATTGTCACCTTAATGACAATTTCTCTTCTCCCAAATCTTTCAACTTACCTCACACATTTAGCTATTACGACAATTTACTAAGCCAAATAAATAGGTCGACCATTCCATTCCTCACCTTACACCTATTTTTTTATGCCAAATAAATATCGATTTTATACTTTAGAAAAACACTCATATACATAAATTGCTAGCCGAAGCAAACCAAACCGAAGTTTGGCTAATTCGATTGAATTCGGTTTACATGATGAACCGATCTACCAAATATGGATTTGATTCAGTTTTACAGAAATTACCGATTTTTCTTTTTTCCAATTTTTTATACGATTGTGCCAATACTTTCTTTACAAACTTCCGAAATTACCAACTAGTAAACTTTGTGGAAATATATTAAAAAAAAAAAAATCTTTAAAATTTAAAAATTGTTACAAACTGAAGCAAATTTTTTTAAGTTGGATTAATTCATAACCAACAATCTTATCTTACCCAAAAATTACCATAATCGAACCGAACCGAAATTTTCGTTCCAAACGACCGGACTAAACCCGGATGCCCAGCCAACGTCCGTCTTCGACACGTGCGGGATGCGTGACGCGTGACCTTCCTCCATTATGCTCAGCTCAGATCTTCAAACTCCAAGTCCATGGCCCCTGACGCTGCATCCCTCTCTCCGCCGCCGTCGCCGGCTCCTCCGGTGGATACAACCAGTCGCGTTGACGTCTTCTGGCACGAAGGAATGCTCCGACACATCGCCGTCGAAGGCGTCTTCGACTCCGGACACGACCCTGGATTCCTAGACGTATTGGAGAAACATCCTGAGAACGCAGACCGCATCAGGAACATGGTTTCGATTCTCAAACGTGGTCCTATCGCTCCTTATGTCAATTGGTTCACCGGTCGTCCTGCAATCGTATCAGAGCTTCTAATGTTTCACACTTCAGGTAGATGATCGAATTAAAGCAGAAAGGAAGGGACTTTATGAAATTTGTTTCTGAATTTGCCACTTTGGAATACCATTAGTGTGTGATGCTTTGCTTTTCTTGTGTACTATGTGATTCTTGTACAGAATACATTAAGAAGCTAATGGAGGCAGATAAATCAGGAGAAAGGTGTGAAATTGCTGCAGGTACTTTCATGAGCTCATGTTCATGGGAAGCTGCTCTTCTTGCAGCTGGAACTACTATATCAGCAATGCAACATATTCTTGACAGCCATGGGAAAATAGCATATGCTCTGGTACGACCACCAGGACACCACTCACAGCCTACTCAAGCTGATGGGTATTGCTTCCTCAACAATGCTGGTCTTGCAGTGAAGCTGGCGTTGAATTCGGGTTCTTGTTCTCGAGTTGCGGTTATTGACATTGATGTGCACTATGGAAATGGCACTGCTGAAGGGTTTTACAGGTCTGATAAGGTTCTCACAGTGTCGCTTCATATGAATCATGGTTCATGGGGCTTGTCTCACCCGCAGAAAGGGTCCATTGATGAACTTGGTGAAGATGTTGGATTGGGTTATAACCTGAATGTCCCTTTGCCTAATGGCACGGGTGATCGGGGTTACGAGTATGCCATGACTGAGCTCGTGGTTCCTGCGGTTAGAAGGTTTGGACCCGATATGGTTGTTCTGGTTGTTGGTCAAGACTCCAGCGCTGTAAGTTCTTTCTTTCCCACAAAAACATGTTGACACTATCTAACCACACTATGTAATTTTATTTGCAGTTTAAAATTTAGCTCTATTGCAAGTGTTTTTGATTCCTTTTCTTGTCATTTGAGCTGGCATTATGTTATTCATAGAACTTAACTATTTTTACAGATTCTGCAGTTTCAGTACTCCATTAGAAACTTGAGTAATCACAGTTTGGTATTGTTGTTTATGGTTCGTGTAACTTATATCCTGACTAGAAACATCTGACTTTAGTACTTGTGCAAGGTTTTGTTCACAGCTATTGTCTTGTTTATGAGTAACTAGCTTGTGTCTTGGTTTGCTAGAGATTCTGATGTCCAATTTACAAGGTGATTAGAATACAATGGACTCACAGGTAACCATTTTTTACTATCGGATTCTGCAGTTTGATCCAAATGGGAGACAATGCCTGACGATGAGTGGATACCGAAGAATTGGGCAGATAATGAGAGGAATTTCAGAAGAGCATAGCCATGGAAGGTTGCTAATAGTTCAAGAAGGTGGGTATCATGTGACATATGCAGCTTACTGCCTCCACGCCATGCTCGAAGGCGTGCTGAATATTCCAGAACCGCATCTACCTGATCCGATCGCTTATTATCCTGAAGACGAAGCTATAGCTTTTGCAGCTGTGAAATCTATCAAAAGATACCAATCGGAATTTGTTCCGTTTCTGAGAGGAGCTTCAAGCTGTGTCGAGTGAATGAGTTTATTTGGTTCCTCGTTGTGTTATTACATTTGGATTCGATATATGCGGATTCGAATTCGAGTGGTGAAACATCAACAAGCAACCATCTAATATTATACGGATTATTTTTAAAGAACACGTCCATCTTAGTGGATCTTAGATTTTTAGTATACGAACTTTTATAGAATGTAAAACTTCAAGTGATCAGTATACCAAATAATGAAATTACCAATCCTATCAACCTGTAATAAGTTTTAAAGAAAATGACAAAAAGAACAACATCTTTTGATAAGTATGCAGTTCATATCATAAAAAAAAAAGTATGCAACTAATTAATATCGTGTTTTGTTTATGCTAAATCGTTTTATCCACTAATTAGACAATAATTCCACCTATCCTTTTCACGGTGTGTCGCGTATTTGTCAAAAATAATTGAATCATATTTTAAAAAAATTCTCATTTCTTAGACAGTTACACAAATATATGAAGTTTAAATAAAATTTAGAAAGAAAGATGAGTTATCTTGTAAAACAAT